TGTTTTGGTGATAGTTTATTATAGAGGACCTCCTGTTTGTTTGAGAGGGGGGGGGGGAGCCCCTATTTACTAATCAGGCGCCAACATTAGTTGAAACCCTCTTGAACATTCAGAAAGAGTGAATATGAAATTCTAATCACGAAAGGTGTTCCCTGAGGGGATACATACCTAGAGTTTGTTTTGTGAAGCACGTCAATTCTCTCCTGGGGAGCGTCTTCGTGAGCCTCTTATGGTTTCAGGATAGTTCAAATCCTATGATGTTCCGATTCAATGCTCACCGATGATCTGAGCCATGGGGCAAGTTTGTTTTCCTAAGAATTTTTTTGAACATTTCGAGAGCATATGTTTGAACATTTAGAGTGCATATGAACATATATTTACGAAAGGTCGCCTCCGAGGGGATAAATCACCATGTCGAACATTGCATTTTTGTTCCTGCCTCTCGCGTTCTCTTCTCTTCCCGCTGTCCTACCTTTCGTGTCTCCCTCCTCTCAAGTTGACATAAAATTCATTTACCCCTACTGCACAAACACTTACTCCGTTGCACACCTCCTATGCCAGTCATTCTTGGTTCACTTCCTGTGGCACAAAAGTCAAGGCCTTAAAGGCCCAAGTGGCACAGCTTACGGGCTTGCCAGTGGAGCATCAGAGGCTGCTGGATGTGAGTGGCCGGGAGCTGCAGAGGTCCTTGGAGGATGGGAGGAGAGTGGAGGGGGGCAGGGAGAAGCAGGGTGAAGAAGTACCCTGGAAAACTGGATAACCTTTAAGGCTTTAAGGGGCCGTTGAATCGACACCCTGGTGATCCTTTGGTCGTGGATGTGGGGTGAGGTTGGATGATGTGGGTGCGATTGTTTGATGTGTATTGATGTTTATTGTAGATGTGTTTTTCACACCCAACGTGTATATCGGTAGCTTCCAGCATTCGTGGTCCGTGGCGGGGGTAGCCGAGCTCCCCAGACTGCTTGTGGGATCCAGGAAGCTTTTCAACGTACACTCCGACGAACACATCACATGGAAGTGGAGTTCACCCCCTATGTGTAAAGACACCGTAGTCACGCAAGGGGCCATGTTCCACTTCCATGTTTAGTGAGTTTGTTTATATAGTGTATAGATGTGTATAGGTTCTGGTTGGAGAGGCTCCAGAAGCCAGAGGGACAAACGTTCAGAGATCCCTGAATCTCTTTTCAAGCGTAGTAGTTGAGCACATCATCAACCCATATCAACCCTCGACCCGCATGCGGAGACTCATGTAATTCCGTCACTTGTGGGTGGGAGATGTGTCATTTGGACCACTAAAATGCGGCTTCCCTTAAACTGAGTTCCATCGCGAGAGGTCGCGATTGGTGGCCACCTGGCTTGGTCCACTTTGGTCGACTCAGGAGGTCTCCAGCGACGAGCTCACGTTGCTCCGGCGCCCAGAGGAACAAGCCAAATGGCTAGCGCAGTTGGCAGAGGCAGGTTTGGCCTCGCAGGTCGAAGTCTCGGTCATCCCAATCGAGAAGAGCCTGCAGATCTGTCATCCTTGGAATACGAAGATCTGAGATTTGGTTTAAAAGGAACCCTTCACAGCAGCATTCCTACATCGCAGCATGCAGACACAGCGCAGGCAGGTTCTTCTGGCGATCTCTCCAAAGCGCCGGATGAAATCAGGCAGGTTTTGCGACAATCTGGGAGGGTTGAGGTGCGAGTTTGATGCCGGCCCAAATGTTTGTGTTCTTCAGGCCGGAAGAATTGTAATTTAAAAGGAACATAACATGTTGTATAATGTGGTATTCGACTATTCCGTACGTAATTTTCATTAATGTCTGCAAATTCCTTTCCAAGGGTTGGAGGTTGAGGGTTTGGGCACCACATTGTATGGCTGTGATGCCTCATCACAGGTTCTTCTTGCCACCCAGGTTTGATGTGATCAACTCATCAACCACCAGCCACCCTGCCTGCTTGAGATTGTGTTTGGGGCACTTTTTTTAGTCGCTTTGCTCCAGACCTGCCAAGAGCTCAAGCCTCGCAGAGACTACCAATTGCTTAGAGTTAGATCAATTATTTGTGGAAGCTTGCTTTGATGATCATTGAGCTCCGAAACCACTTGCCCCAAACTGCGGAGACGGTGCCAAGATGCTAACGGCGCATTTTTGGTGGCATGCATTTTTTCCGTTGGCTTGCCAACAAGCAATAACAAGCATTTGTACCCTTTTCCATCGCTGAATGCCACATGTGTACGACTGTTCTGCCGTCCCAGGGAGGACCGAGAGGTCCTTCTGGCCGCCGTGAGCGCGGACGACGACGCCCTGCAGTGGGCCTCGACGGACCTACAAGGGGACCGTGCCGTGGTGCTGGCGGCGGTGCGCAGGCTGCTGGGACTGCGGTGGCCTTGCTTTGGGAGTTGGGAGATTTGGGAAATGAGGGTTTTCAACGTATAGAGTATGTTTTCCCAAATGAGGGTTTTCAAACATTACATATAATATAGTATTGCCTTTTGAGAATGATTTGAGATGTTTTGAGATGTTGAGAGGTTGCAAACACTCCCCGCACAGGACTTCCCCCACGACCGTCGGCCTAATATTGGGATGTCGATATGCTATGATGTGCCATATTTGTGCCATGACGTCAGTTGAAGGGGGTAAGAGGGATGCTACACCTCGTGAATCTTTTGTCTAGCAAGCAAGTATCAGGAAGAATCACGCAGGAACTCAGTTTTGCCTCAAACAGATGTGACCCTGGCGACAGGTGTGGCTTTGCGTTGGCCTGCGCGGCAGGAACGCTTCAGGATCGGCGGATCGGGGGGCTGGGCGTTCCAAGGTCCTGAAGTGGACTATGCCACTATGCCCTTGTTTTGTGGAGGTGAACCGTTTTTCTGGGTGACAAAAGCATGTTTGCCGGATAGAGGGTGCCGTTCAAGAAAGGAAGAGTCAATCGTAGGATTTCATGACGCTCTACCATGATCCTAGTACATTTGCAAAATATAGATTCTAAAGCAAATAGATGTAGAATACTAATGAATAGATATAGAATAAGATTACTATAATCATTGCGATTATCGTGGAGAAACGTGTGGCAGTGGGTGGTGTGGCAAAACTTGGAGCCAGGCATGGCCATGCGGAATGATGGGGGCACCTTTTGCATGCAGTGTTTTATGAACAAGTTGCCTTAAGGGACATCATGATTTCATCTTGCCACTGTGCAAATGTCTTACGGTATGTCCCCATGCAAACAATGTTGAGTGATATATTACAGAAATTGCAGTGCCACATGCAGATGAACCTACGTGGGCAGTAGATCAACTCAAACTTGTCCAATGGACATGGGGGACCGACACCCCAAACCTGTACATTTAACACTGAATCCCACCTCTTGTGGCGACCCCAACCTACAAGATCCTACAACCACCGTCCTTCCGACACCAATTTTTCGATTCAGATATGACACGGAGGGTCCGAGACACAGTCGCTCTCTACTACTGCATCAGCCTGGTCCCACTGCAAGGCAGATCGCTCCTTGGTCTTGGCCGCGGTGCAGCGGCATGGGCTGGCGCTGGAGTTTGCGGACACCTGGCTGCGTGCGGATGAGGAGGTGCTGAGGGATTTTTGTGAGCCAGAAGTTTCATTGTGTGGGTTTGTGGGTGAGTAGGAAACTTTGCAAGGGGACAGCCCAGTCGGGGGGGGACCTGGTGAGAACACAACATCTCGTATTGCTTGCCAGGTGGTCCTAACAGCTCTTGAGCAAGACGGCAATGCCTTTCAGTTCGCCGATGTGCGTTTGCGAAGCGATCGGACCTTTGTGCTGCACCGTGGCGGCGTTTCAGGGTTATATAGTATTATATACTTATTCCACAACAACGTCTCATTCCATTGGTAGTCATTGGTCTTGTGCAGTTGTTCATCTTGGGAGGATGAACCCACAGCAACCAGGTTCGCTGCTTCCAGTCCATGCATTCATGAACTCCCATTCACAACGCCGGAACCCATGGGATTGGCAAAACTGCCATGTTCTTCGCCCCCAAACAAGCAGAGTTGGCTTGAACAGCCATGATGGCTCACAAGACACAATTCAACTAACAGCCGTTGCCTGTGTTTCAGCCCACTTGGATTTCCTCCTGAGGCGTGCAGTGCGGTGCAATGGCTATGCGCTCACCTACGCCCAGCCGGAGCTGCGGAATGATCGTGAGATCGTGATGGCGGCCATTGAGCGCAACGGCTGGAGCGCATGCCATCGCATGCTTGCACTTTTCCAGAGAAAATGATGCTGCCATCAGGGGGGAAAGATTCAGTACTGTACATGGATAGCTAAAGCACTCGTGGTATCAAGTGGGCCCGGTCACCAATACAATCAGTAAATATTCTTCCAACTGCCTTTAAGGTGCCTCTTTATAGTTGAGCTCTCTTCAAACATACTGATTGCATCAGATCGCACTTGTGCGGCGTGCGGTGCGTGTTCTTTGGCTTCCGATTCCATAGCACGCCTCCTTTAATCCGTGAGGATTTGGGACAATGGCCTTCGCGTTTCGCAATTTGGTGGCTGGGCTTTGCAGTGTGCTTCTGAGGCTCTTCAGGCCACTGTCGCACGGTTTCTTGGGGTAACTCTATGTTTTTTGAGTATATAACCTAAAGGATCCTAAAGGTCCTAAAGGACAACAACAAACAAATTGTTGAGGACAGCGTTCAGTCCTTTTGGGTGACTCAACTTTTGAAAGCGGGACTTGGTCACGAACGCCTGTCTTGAGGACAAAATGAAGACAGACTGAAACTCTCTGGACCGCCAATCATCCCAAGAAAGAGAAGTCTAACCTGTTTAGAGATACATCGCCTTAAAAACAGCGCTTCTATTCTTAGGGGTGACCAATTTGTGCAGAAGTACAGACGATACCCAAACCTGAAAGAGGCCTCACATGACAGTCCTGCAAAGAGAAAGGGCGAACAGAGATGCCAAAGTGAGCGGAGCTAGCAGCCCTGATCATATCCTCCACAACTCATGTAGAAGCTGACAGGTTGTCATGAAAACTCATGGTGAGAGGAACGCCACTGTCCATAAATGGGCTTTGGCCAGCCTTGCGTGTTACAGTTGATCCGGGAAGGAGCATTGTGCAGTGTAAGCTTGTTCTTATGGAATTACCATTGAGTCCCTTTGGGTTGAACAACGCACGACCGGTATGGGTGTTCAGAACATGGCAGGTTGTCAGTACAGTCTAGCGTGCAGCCCAGTGTCGCTGGTTTTTGAAACACGTTGACTACCAACACAGGGCATGATTGCCAATGACTAAGTGACTAATGAGACTAGACTACCCAACATTTTGATATATTTTGATGCTTGTCTTTCTGGGTTTTTGCGCTGCAGGCAGAGTTCGAGGTACCCAGGTACCCCACGCACAAGCGAATTGCTACACCCACCGTTCCCTTCAACGAGGGTTCCAACCGGATGGACCGTTCCGACCAGTGCGGGTCCGCCTCCACCAGGCGGACCGTGAGCTGGTGCTGGCAGCTGTGCAGCAGGACGGGGCGGCCTTGGCCTTTGCCTCTGAAGAGCTGAGGGAAGAGAAGGAGGTCCGCCTAGGTCCGGACGGTGCGATCCAGCAAAAGGGCCAGGTAGTGGGACTTTGTTCATGGCAGGTTCGCAGCACAACGAGAAAGAGGGAGAGAGATAGACTTATTTTAGTCTTTAGGTGCTTGTCTTACTTTTCCAGGTCCTGGTCGGTTCGATGCAGAGGCCTTGGGACACCTGGTGCAGAGGCCTTAAATGGAGGAATCGAACGATGCAAATTTCATATTGATGCGCATTCTCAGGCTCCTAAGTGGAATTCCTGAACCCAACCCCCCCCGAGCATGTTTTTGCCCGCCTGCCCTTGAGCTTACCAGGTGGTGCTCCAAGCAGTTCACCAGACAGGGTCGGCCTTGGCCTTTGCCGCGCCGGCCCTGAAAGCCGACCGAGAGGCACACGGAGCTGCCATGGCCGCCGCACGGGAAGAGTGGCCGGTGGCCATGGCTGGAGGGCTTGTGGAAGCAATTGCTCGTGATTTTGTCAGACATGTCAGTACCCGTGCTGTTCATTTGTGGCACAGATCCGCGATTGGGACTCCTGATGGAGTCATGAACATGACATGGACATGACGTGAATACCACAAATTTGACAAGGAGTTTCAAGTCGGCGGTGGATGAAGAAGAGGTGCCCATTCTTTACTCACTTAGATGTGTGTGTTTCAATTGTTTTCATCCTCTGACTCTGACCCACCGCTTTGCGACATATTTTGGACTCCATGGAGGGTGGTTTGAGTGTTCGGTCTCTACTCAAGAACGTGTCCACTTGTGCCACCCCGTTTTGCTTTAGGCCTTTTGAGTCCTTTTGTTGTGAACTGCGAGATCCTGTCGAGGTGGTTTGGGCAGCAGTCCAGGAATCTGGCTTGGCTTTGGAGCATGCTGCCGATGAGTTGCGCCGCTCAGCCGGTAGAGCTTGGGCCCATCTGCAACGCTTGGGCTGTAGGACAGTTCCAGACTCACTGAACACGGATGGCAAAGCAAAGCAAACATCAGATTTGAATTGGACCGAAAAAACATGAAAACACATTGATGAGTTTTGTGGCCTTTTATTGAACGTTTATTGTGGGTCAGGAGCAGCTACACTCGAGAGCTGTTGCCCGACAGGTCCAGGAAGTTTCTGGACAGACCCTCATCATTACCTTTCCCTCGATGAGTTCAGAAAGGAAAGAACGGCCAGATTCCGGCAGATCAGGTGATGACGAAGACCTCGTCTTTGTGGCGGTCGCCACCGGCGCCGCACTCCGCTTTGCCTCGCCGCGGCTGCGCGCGCAGCGGCGCATGGTGTGCCAAGCGCTGCGGGCGGACGAGGCGGCGCTCGCCTGGGCTTCGGAGGTGCCGGGCCGGGCTTTTGCATCGCTTGGGGCTTGAGACGTTTGTAACATAACCTTGGGTAGTTTGGCAATGTTTGGCATATATCTTATATATAGAATTATATAAATACTTTGAGTGACTGAGCACCTTTGGTCACAGACTGTACTTTTAAGTCCGAGCACCTGCTCCATTGCTCAGTCGCTGCAGTTTCATTCGAAGCAAGCCTCCGGTCGCGCTGCAGGAGCTCCAGAGCGACCGGAAACTCCAAAAGTTTGCTCGCCGTTGTGGGCAAGTGGAGCGGAACTCGCGTTCGCGTTCCAGAAAACGAGCGGACCTGTGGGAAGAGGGTGCCTTTCGACACTTTTGCCAATATTGTGCAAGGTCTTAAAACCCTATTTATATAACCTTTTGAGGTTTGGCAGGGGCCATTGTTCTTTGTTGTATGGCGGTCCGTTAGGTAGAAATGGCTGTGCTCTCACACTAGCCAGATTGGGCAAGCTTCCTCCAAGAATCATGACATTGGACATTGGTTCAATTCACATCGATTCACTATAATATCTATAATTCACTTGTTGTTTAATTTCCTGATGCTGTCTAAGACTTGTTGGTGTATCATGCTGGATCCTAAGACCTTCACCCTCCACCCTGACAGACAAGAACAATTGCTTGATCACCCCTGAAAGCGGTGCTCGGAAGCATCAACCATGCGGTTGACAGCGGAAATTTCCGGTGACGGCGGTGATTGCAGGTGGTGGAAGAGCTGTTCAAGTATCCCGAGAGCAGCATCGATGGGATGGTGGAGCAGAGGCAGAGCTGGATGCAGATGGGGTCTATACGAAATTATATGACGAGTATGGTAAATTACCATGCGGCTGGTTTTAAATTGAATTATTTGTTGTGTCAGGTACTTGGAACCTAACACTCCTAACACTGTGTGTATACATATATATATAAGTGTATAGGGAGAGAGAGAGAGAGAGAGAGTGTGGGGGGGTCCAAGAGGAAGTTTCGATGGTTGTGACGTTTGTATTTCTGACACGTCGCTGCAATGTGTGGAAACAAACAACATTTCAGGTGAACGAACCGATCCGGCAATACAGTCACAGATGTCACAAATGATTTTCCTGAAAGGATCTATCCCGAGGCCGCTAAACTAGTAAAGCTAGGGAGAAGCAACGACCGTTTATGCCAAGGTAGTGCTTGACTGACTGTCAAGGCCATGAAAAGGTGGAGCCCCGAAATAAAACGTCACAAACATGAGGTGCGGGATTTGCTTTCTCCCTTTACCGCAGGTATATATTATATATATATGAAATTTTACATGGACCTCGATCTTCTAACTATGCCCAATTTCTGCCTTTTGGCTGTTTTTTTTAGATGAAAAGGCAGGCATTTGTCTCAGTTGGAAGATGCAGGGATGTATATAAGGAAAGAAGATGGAAGACTCAACTTCCGAAAGGAACCATGCAACATAAGGCACCAGTCCCACTTCCAAACTCCCAGGGTTGAGGAGCTGCAGCAGTACAGGCGGCAGGCGCTGGTTTTTTTTGGGCTCGCCTTGACAGATGAGAGAGAGATCACGCTGAATTGCTGCTGACAATCAAAGCCTAGATACATCAAACGGCTTACGACCCAGGAAGACAGATCTGGAAGATAAATACAGCTTCTGTTGTGGAACTTCACTTTCCCAGGGTCATTTTTGCGCCTCTAGGGTCCCGCCAAGAATGACAGTGGTGATTTATTGAGCTGGCTGGTTGGATTTGATGCGTGCAAAAAGCACCGGCCCTTTTAGATCCAGTTCGGGGTTGCTATCATGTTAGTTCCTATCTTCTTTCTTATGTTCTTTGTCACGTTTTTTTCTCTCCGAGAACTGCTAAGAATCCGGGGATCTCCCTTGCAGTGACTGGCAATCCCCCAAGTTTGTTGGACTGGTATCATGGAAAGAGGATGAGACTTGTCCCTTAGGTCATTTTTCACGACGCACCAGCATGAGGCAAACTATGAGACTATAAGGACTATAAAGATGTTGTCTCTTGTGTAGTGTAACTTGTTCGGTTGTTGTCCGAGAAAATTCCATATGTTCCATACTGGGGCAGCGGCTGGAGTGCGTGTTCTCCCAAGCACCGCTCTCCTCCCAAAGCAATTTTTGCAAGCTTCAGAAGCAAAGCGGCCTTCGTCAGTACCAAAGCAACAACGCCTGGGAAGTTCATGTAGTTCATCGAAGTTCGTGTGACATGTTTCATCGCGTCATTCTCATGTAGAATGTACATGCCAGCCACGTTCGGTTTTGGATGCCCCGAAGATGGCCAGGTGGAGCGCAATCAACGCTTGGCCTCCGAGGGTATCGAACAGTCGAAGGCGATCGTGGCGGGTCGGACGACACCGAGCACCGGCGCTGGGTGCCATTGATGTTGTTTGCTCGTACTGTAGACTCCTGATTGCTAAACCATCTCAATTGAATTGAACACCCTCTTCACATGGGCGGGCTATGAATCCAGAGCCTACCAGTCAGACTAGCTCAGTCAGAAGTTGTGGCCCAACTCCAGAAGTGCTGTGAGCGTCATCCCGCATTCGAGACTGCATCAGACTGCCCAGTCTTCGGCCTCAGGCCGTTTCTGTCGCCTGAGGCCGTCTCCGGTGCGCTGAACATTTTAGAGCGTAGTGTATGTTGATGCTGGTGAAGATCTACATGCACTTATAGTTACCGTGTGAAGTCAGTGGTTTTTGACTGACGGTTTGTGCTAGGTCAATCCAATATAAAGGTATTGTAAAGGTTCCACCCTTCCAGTTGGGACCTCAAAGGCTCAACGGAGACCAGACAATCTGTATGTGACGGTGATGATCTGATGTTTAGACTTTTTGTGTGTGATTTAGTAGGGTGAACCCTTCAGGGGCACCCGAACAGGAAACGTAGACAAAAGCATCCAATTTGTTTTGATAATTTTTGCATATGTCAACACACACACACACACCTAACTAGACTAGATCATGCTTAAAACCGTAAAAGTCAGACACGGTGACGGTGCCCTGAGCAAATCATGCTCAAGATGCACAGCTTGAAAACTGTAGCTCAAGCCTGAAGACTGTGGCATGGTTTGGATGCAGCAACTCGTGGGTTGCCCCGCGGGTTGCCCCAGAAACAGCTGAATTTCTTGGATCTAGTATGCCTCCACGGAGCCGTTTGGGTCAAGTAACCAGGTCCCCTTTTCAGAAGATCCATCGAGCCTCTGTTGGTGACATCAAGTGAAACATGAACATGACGTGAGCAGCTTGGCCTCATCGCGTGGTTCTGGGAAGCGCCATTCGTGATCCGAGACCGCCACCCTGTCAGACCTGTCACGCCCATTAGCAGAATTCATTCTGCAATTTGCAAATGTGTACAAAGTCAAAGACTCCTCTTTGCACCAATGGCACAGATGCTCCCAACCTTCAACAAGGAAATGAAGGCCGCCCCGGCTGGTGCGGGTTGCTTCCTGTGCCGGGAAAAAGGGTGCACCTTTGGAAGCTCCAGGTGGAACCACGTGAAGATGTGGACGCAGCTGGTCCCCTTCCCAAGAAAGAACTCGTGGGGTTGGTTGTGACACTGGCAGACGGGTTGAGAATCCGATGTTGAAATTTTTGAGGTCAGGGGTTGTGACACTGGCATCAGAATCACATTCCGGACATGGGTTTCTCATGGTTTCTCCACGTCCGATCGTTTGAGATCATCGATCAGCTCCACCATGTGGCGCTGTCGCGAAAACCGCTCACCGCTGGGATCCCGGCGGAGCACTCTTTGCTTCAAACGCTGATCATGAGGGATGTTTGGATAATAATATATATATATATATGAATGATTGATATATCATGTTGGATCATGTGCTCATATGCATAGTATATAAACACTCTAAATACCGCAGTTTGTCAGACCATCAATCATCCTTATTACTCACAGTTCGCCAGAGACACTCGCAGCGCGAAGCCAGGCTATGCAGAAGACTTTGGGGTGGGGGTTGCAACATGAACATGGTCGAAGCGCCTTGATTGCTGTCATGGCGAAGGGCCAGGATTACAAGTGCTCCCAGCGGCTCCCAACGTTGGGATGTGATAGTCCATTTGTACCATTCCTGTCGGCTGCCTGTCCGGCACTGGACCCCTTCAGATTGCAACTTGCTGAAGACTTGGAGCATTTTGGAGTTGTGAAAGCAGACGAACGCTTGGAATCTTGGATGTTTGGATGATGGATCAGAATCCACAAAAACATCGGTTCTGAACCTGCTTGTAGCTGAGGTTTGGAGACCCATTCCCAGTGTCATAGGCAACCCCCCTGCATGGTCGATCGAATTCCATCAAATTCCATGCCACAGCCGACTGCCAAGTTCATCACCACAGCCCGGTGAGAGCTTCGACGCGAGATGTGCACCAGCGGATCACTGAGATCAAGGCACAACTGGAGGCAGGGAAGGTGTCCACTCGGAAGGAAGGTCCTTTCTTTTTCCGCTCCACGGGTGGGAAGTCTTTGGTTCCGCAGCAAGGTGGATCAATTGGAAGGGTGCTTATACTTGGAATTGAATCGAACCCTCACACTTTAGGGCCTTGATTTGCTTCCAAACTTCACTTGAGATGATTTGAGATGGAACCCTCAGGAGAAGGAGCGTCGCTTGCAAGAGGTGGAGGAGTGGCTGGGCGAAGGCTTTAATCCTTCACTGCTAGGTCAACTGCGGGGCACTGTGGCGAAGATCCAAAAGACGGACGGATCATGGAAGATTGGGAGGACGCACACGGAAAGGGAATCCGCCCTGATGCCAGCTACAAGATATTACAAGATAAACAGAATGAGCGATCTAATCTAGAGATTCCTAGAGTTTGCAACCAGTGCTCTCTCTCTCTCTATATATATATATATAAGACTCTCGTTGCTGTAGAGCAAAGCCTTTGGACACCCCGCCAAAAAATCAAGCACTGGTGGGGAGATTGTCTTGAAGCTGCCACAAGATGTTTGCTCGTACCATGAAATAGCCAGAGCCCCTTCAACTAATTTGACTTCTTGGCCTGTGTGAAAACGCTGAAACTAGGACAATGTGTGAGTGTGGGTGAAACAGTTTCTGGTCAAAAATGAGTTTAGAACTCAGATGTCATTTGGAGTTTCAAATTATGGTCCCATGCTGCAAGTATCTTCAATTCTGCTCAGTATCCACTTGTTTGATTTGAGAGTCCTTGGGTGCTTTGGGTGTGCTAGTGTGATGCCGTGGTCCCAGGTTCTATGACATGAGGAAGCTCGAAGTAACCAAGAAGATTGCCAGGGAGGATGACAAGGCGACAGCTGCTGCATCGTGGAGAATACAGAACAACAGTTCCTGTAGTCACTTTGTCACACGCCCTTCGGCCCGGCAGAATGACATTTAGTGACATGTCTACTTGAGGGCAGAGGAATCCCGGTCATCCAGGAGAACCGACAGGTTGATCTACCGAATGCCTCACGAAAACATTTAGCTAGATCGAGCCTTTGACCGTCACCGACCCCTCACACATCCTCAAACCATCCCACCCGAGGCCTCGGTCGGCGTTTCGATCGAATCACACCCGACCCGGCCGGCCGGACCCCTCCAACCCCACCTTGGTCGAGGTGGCCATGCTGGAGAGACGAGTGGGGCTCTACAAGAACTCCCAGAAGTTTCGGAACAACAAGCGCTTGGCCCTCGGAGGGGGAGTCAAAGAGAGAAGTTGCACCAGCGAGCCTTTCAGCGTTGTTTCGTTTGTCTGGCGAAAGGTCTCCCAAGTGATGCACTGAGAAGTTGGAAAAGAGAGTGATTTGCTTGTAGGTGGTGTCATAACTATAGTCTTGGTAGTGGTCACGTTAGGAGTACGCATCACCTTCCCTTTTCTCAGGCATGAAGAGGCAAGGGTAATGTATTGGGCTGCCAGGCAGTCTAGGTCCTAGGTACTTGCACCGTTTCATGGAGCAGAGGTCGTTTGGCACTCACTGGCCAGGCCGTTGTGATGTGTTGAAGCCGTAAGATCCGAATGCCCCATTGACCAATTGTTCGAGTTCTTTTGTTGACACCTCAGTGATACCTACAACTGTGATGTGTGCGGGGGCTAGAACTCGGCCCCAGAAAGATACAGTAAACTATTTTGGACACATGAATCAGTATCAGAAGTGGATTGCCAGGCGCGGCACAAGACAGAATCACCGATGAAGTTGGCTCCCCCTGGTCCATTCATTTTTGGTGGCGCCTCAACCTCAAAATCACACCTTGTGAGGTGTTCCAGAGATGTTCCAGACCTCCCCTGCCTGGTACCTCCCCTGGCCGAGAGAGCATGCGACAGTGTCCAGTTCCGACAGCAAGTCCAGGCTGTGAGTTCCTTCAGTTTGTGGAGAAGCCCTGGTTTGATGGCGTGGTGGCACTGGTGATCTTGTTGAACCTCTTGATGGTGGCCATGGAGTCACTCGACCGCCTTGTAGTCATAAGTGGTGACCACTACCCCCGCTGCGGCGAAAGGGGGCCGGCCCCTTATTGGTCCCCCATCTATCGGTCCGTCTCTATCGGCGATGATGGGAGACGGTGCTCTGTCCGTGGGACGACGGTTGTCCCGTCCCTATTCGCCGAGTTGGCCGTGTGAGAGGAAGCGGACACTGGCCGTCCAGGTTGTTGTCCAATGGCGACAAAGATCGAGACTTCTTTTGGTGGGACACTTGGCGTCGAACTTGGCGTCAGATGGGTGTCAAGTCAGGTCAGACCGTTCACGTTGCTTTCCACTCCAGGTAACTTGGAGATGTAGCTTGATTGATTGCAGGCCAACCTTTGTGTTGCATTCGTCATCTGCAGTACTGCAAGATACTGTAAGCATAAAAACTGGGAGATTGGAGGCGTTTGAATTGGTGGATGTTGGGTCTGTCCATGTTTGTCCAGTACCTGTAACAGTCAATGAACAGTTATTTAAAAGAACATGTCACTACTTTAGAGAAAGGCCTTTACTAACCATCAGCATCCACTGTTACTGGTAATAGGATAGACCCAAGGTGGATGTTCAATGGTTTAAAAGCTCTGGGAATTTTCCACCTGGCGGCCGATCAGATCCTTATACCAAAAAACATGAGGGTTTGGATGGCGAGCTAGAAACCTTAGAGCATCGATTTGTGCGGCGTAGATCGTCTCAGGGGTGATATGCATTTTGGATTCTTGAATGAACGGTTCAGGAACTCATGGTTATATACAATTTTTGATTTTCAGTAGTTGGTTAGGAGAACGGCGGTTTCAGAGAGTATATTCATGTATATTCCCTAACCACCGTAACCCTATCTTCCATGCTATAGCACTGTTTCTAGGATCCCCAACACCTCGAGAACAGCACCCAGGAGAGAAGCTCGGCGGATCCCCTGTTCACTCTGGGTTCTCAGCAGTGAGTGGAGCCGATTGCGGAACATCCTGCCCAGGATGTTGGGATCCTGGGCTTCTATCTTTGCGAGTTTATCGCCCGGCTGCTCTTGCACAAGGAAGTGCGGGAGCCCGGACAGTGCTCGGGTTCCGCTTGGGCCGAGCAAAAACGGCTTGCGCGGTCGAGTGGGCTTGATCAACAGAAGGGATATGACGGGACGGGGAAAGAGCGTCTTTTGAGGGGGGCACGTGCATTTGACCGTTGCCAGCCTTGTGAAGGTAGCGGTGGCTGGAAGCCCAGGGAAGCTCATGGGTCCAAGATGATGTGAAAACACACACGAAGTAAACATTGGGCAATTTTTTTTGCAAACATCACCCTGCACTAGTGGCCACATCTCCTGAAGTTTCCATGGCTGGCAACCGTCCAGGCTGTTTCAAAGATGATCATGACTAAAGGCGATTTGATATTCACCAGCATGTGCTTTTTTTGAATAAGATCGGTTCAACTGCAAGTTAGAAGGAATTCTCTCCTTGCAGTGGTGATGTTACGCGTTTTTTGGCTATGCTGAACAGATCAGGGCAACTTCATAATGCAAAAGAAGCCCACTTTGTAGAGAGAAACTGAGACACGACCGAAGGGCTGATGGACATGACGCCACCCGCCCCAGGCCTTGCTTTGTGGCGCTTTTGAGCACGTCCCTGACGGCAAAAAGCGAGTGGGTAGAGGATGGTAGAGGCCTTCCAGCTCAGGAGACGTCCCTATGAGAGAGCTGTAGAATTGTAGAGATGGTTTCCTCAACAGATGCTGGATGATTGCTGACAGTCATGAGCTCCTGCTACAAGAGGCGGTAGGAGGGGGATTGCACGCTCCAGAGGATAGGGGACCGTTTTGCATTTGTTGATATTTTTGGCATGCTATCGAGCTACGAGGCATGTTTCACCGGGTTTTAGTGATGTCTTGGTCGGGGCATGTTCAGCTGCCTGAGATCCCCTATCGCAAGACTTGGAGCTTCACCCCGGCATGCTCTGCAGACCCTGAGGTTTGGCCTTATTGGATCGATTTGTTCATCGTGGTCGCCGGCAGCGGGGAGCTTCTTCTAGGCCGGGTGCAGTCAATACTGCACGCAATGATCATCCAACATCAGCAAGGACGCTACGAACGGGGCTCCTGGCCTTACTATACACTAGGAGCGATCGGACGCTACTAGTTCCTTTCCCTCTGCGGACTCCGAAACATGCGTTGCGCGTGAGGCCTGCTGGAGTTGAAGACTCGCATGGGTGTTTGGGCTTCCATCCTCCAAGCCTTCCGCGTGGTCCGTGCCGCCCGGCCGAAGCCTATCGCATTGGGCGAGCTGGATGGCAGGGGGGGGTCGGATGGAGCTTCGGAACCGAACTTCTTCCCATTTCTTCCCCTAAGAGGTGGGGCCTGGAGAAAGCTGGTCACTTTCACACTATTGGCGAAATAACCAGCAGTTAGCTATTGATTGGCCACCAGCAATATAATAGCTTGGGTCCGAAGCGGCAGACAGAAGTTAGGTTGCAGTTATACGGTATACGCAAATATACATTGATTCCAGGACCGTCGGGGACTCTTCCAGCTCCCAAGCGTTTTGATGTCTTTGGGGTGAAAGTTCATGGCGGAGGCCCCAGTTCTTCTTGCGCCACCTGTGCGGCGTCCCAACGCACTTATTGCGGTTGTCACTGTTTGCTAGTTAGACACGGAGTGCTTCAGAAGTCCTTGGAATCACGGGGTGGCACTAAATTGGCCTGGGAAAGACCGGGAACCTCTTCGAAGGACGAGAGAGGTGAACAGGATATTTATTTGTCACTATGCACTGCACTGAGTTATGGTTGGCATACCCGGATTTGACACGGGGACACGCCGTGTTCGGAACTCGAAGCATTGTTTGCAAAACATCAACGATACTGTTGTTTTGTTGTTGTTGCTGTTGTGAATCAACTCATTATGATTTCACATGATATTTTAATATATCATGTTGCATGTTTGGCAGATCCCGTCCGGTAGAGTCAATACGTTATAGGATCTATAAGATTATTCAATATGATACTGTATGTGAACCGTCCTTCGAGGTGGTGAAGCTGGTGCGCTTGTTGAAAGACACCACCTGGGCTGAAGAGAGCCCTTTCCAGTTTTTCATCATGGGAGCCACTCGTTTTTGAACATGCGAGTGGCGCTTGTTTGGGAAGCAGGATGGATATTGAGTCTTGTTTTTCTAGGACGCCAGCGAAGCAGGAGATTTGGCGGTTCTTTTGTTCAGGCATGGTCGGCTTATTGACTCATTTGGGATCTAGTGATGGCGGCGGATCAACGGATGTCCAGAGTTGAATTAATCAGTGACCCTCCCTGACTCCCTGGAGCTAACATGGAAGTGGAACACCCCCCTGTTTGCAGAGGAAAAAAGTCTTCCAAAGGTGCAATTTGTTCGTTCCGATTCCATGTAGCTCCACGCAGTACTAATGATATTCTTTGTGTGTCAAGCTTTGCGTTGAACACCCTTGTTAAACATCCTTCCCGTGTGGTTTTGGCTAAAAGACGAGTAGAAACACCTAACACCCATGTTGAACTGCTTTTTGGTGTGCTCTCAACATTTTCTCAGCTTGTTGCGTGGGTTTGTTTGAGTGTCTTACCCGTCTAACCAGACACATCGACACCTCGAACCAGCACTCGGAAGAAGGCGACCAGTTACGCGAACGAAGTAGGTAGTTGGGTCAGCAAGTAGAATGTGGCGAGTTTTGTTGCTGATGTGTTGGTGACGGGGTATCAGTGATGTCATTTTGAAGGCAATACTCAATCATATCGAATCTGTGACAATCTCGCACACTAAACCATTGGCTTGAAGAGTTGAACTATGCTGAAGCTGTTTTCTTTCTTAATTATTGTCAGTTTGGTTGGTGTCCGCTGGGTGCTAGGCTTGGAGTTTCAATCTTTCCCACTGTCCCTTTGCCGCAGCTTCAGCCACTACAGTTTCGGAGCGCTAGGTGATCCTGTGCAATGCGGTGCTCATCGGAGCGCAGATGAACCACGGCGATCTGGAGATCCTGACGACACATGGCGAAGACCAGTTGTGATTGACTGTTCTTAGTTCTAATGATATAGCTCGCTATTGGCTTCCTTTTGGCCATTATAGGTTGGAGGCCATCGGCCATCGGTCTTTGGGGTGCGTTTCAGGACGGATCACCTGACACCCATGGTCGAAGCTGATGGTCATCAGCTTCATAGGTCTCGAATCATTTGGATACAACATATATACGATATATATATATACCTTGACATCAATGAAATCAATCAAGAAAGGCCACCTGATGGCAGAATTCCGAGATTCTATCAGAAGCCACCTGAGCCCACCTTTTCCTGCCCAGGCTGTTGGATAACTTCATGCTCTCCATTTTTTGCTTTGAGATCCTCGTGCGCATCCGGAACTCTGGCTGTCGGTGACTTGGACCGCAGTCAGATCAGCGGGTAGATGGGATGGGGCACACACCTGCCGAGACCAGGGTACACTCCCGAAAACTACCATGGACCTTGACAATGGCCCCCCTGACAAGATTGTCTTCCTATATCAACCAGTGGTTTTGAGGCTCCATGTTAATTTGCAATATTTGCAGGGGAGTAACGGAGTAACTTTCTGGATTCGACCGGATTCCATCTTAGGTGCAAAAGCGTTGGGTGATGGATTTGGACAGTGATGACGGCTGGATTGATATGGATGGTAGAATTTGGTCACATGGGGGATTGCCAAAGGCCTCATCCAAAGGGCTTTGTGACCGTTTGTGCCTTTTCGCTCGTAGCAATAGTAGTAGTTGAGAATCGCTCACGTCACACCCACCTGTCGCTGGTACCATGCATTTTTGCTATCCTATCCAGCTATCCCGCATAAAACCTTTTCTCAAACATCCACACCTCTCAGCATGAGTCGGGATAATCAATGGCGTGTCAATGATTGGTGCTTCCCTCCTGAATCCCAGCTGTGGAATAGCTGTGGCACCATTTTTTGCATCATATGTGCATATTACTACTAGTATATCATATGATATATTAAATATTTTAACATTACATATCTACTCATTACACATCAATGAGTCAATGCCTGGCATATTCCTTCTCTCGCTTTCTTCTCGCCGCGTTCGACCACCACGTCCGATCACGGAGCGGGACCCGCGGAGCCGCGGGGCATCCGGACCGATGGAGGTTCTTTTGCCCACGACGCTCGCTGATTGCGTTTTACAATTGGCTGGACGCTTGGAGCCGAAATGAGCCGATGGGGTGAGCACTGGTCAAATGCTCCAATGCTCCATTTCAAGGCAATACTCAAATACTCCATTGTTATGAATCCTAACACATACACGGAAGAGGTTCGCGATGAAAAATAAAGACACCAAAAATACTCAAAATAAAAACAATCACAAAAACAAACCTAGACTCAGCCCAAAACCTGAACTCGAAACCAAACACACAAAAACACACTCACTTGAAGACTCAAGTAGCAGAAGGTTGAACAGAGGAAAGAAAACAAATCCGGACTCAGCAACAGAGGATTTGAGTCTGGATTTGAGTCTGGGTTGAGTCAGTCTGGATTTGAGTCAGTCTGTTTTTTTGAGTCTGGATTTGTTGTTGTTTTTTTTCTGAGGGAAACCGCAGGTTCCAGCCCACCCTAGCCGCAGCCTAGCCGTAGCCTAGCTCCCCAAAAAGCAGCGGGTGACTCACACCAAACTCAAACTGGAACTCAAGCACTTGAAACAAACACCAGACTAAACAACTGTTGGTTGTTATTTTTTTACTTGACTCCTTACTCGATTTTTCCCGTCCATACTGTTTCTCTTATTTGAGTCTTGTTCTTGTTTTTGAGTCGGTCCTGTCCTGAGTAGACCTGTTCTCCTGAGTGTGGATTTGTGTTTCCTATTTGTTTATTTTTTGAGTGTGTTTTTGTTTTCTTATTCCCGAATGCGTAGCGAAGGGTTCCCGTTTATAGTTGGGGGTGTGGGGGTTGGACATTATGTGTTTGCATGGCCTGCGTCGTGTCGTCGTCTCTCGTCGTCTCTCGTCGTTTGTCGTCGTCTGTCGTCGTCTGTCGTCGTCGTGTCGTCGTCGTCGCGTTTCAAATTTGCTGCCATTGGGGGAAGCTTTTGCAAGTGACTTTGCATGGACGTGTCACGTGTCAGTTTGCTCCGCTATTCCATTGTGATTTGCTGGACCAGGACATGTCGCGCGAGAAACGTGATGCGTTTCGCTGCACAGGCGCAGCGTTTTGTGAGATCGGCAGATTGCTGCGCAGTTCCATTGGGATTAGCGTTTGGAGAGTCGTGTTTTTGGGGTGTTGGATGTGGCCGTGCCATTGGGATTTGCGTTTCAGGGTGTGGCATCGAAGCTCTGTTTTCGTGACAAGTCTCAGCTGAAATGGCGATTTTGGTGTGCTCTGAACTCTGAACGGGTCGAAATCATTCCAAACGTGTGGTGTGGTGCAAATTTCGTTGAAGCTCACATGCGATGATATTGTCACTTTTCGTGGCAGGCGCAGGACTCCGTGCGGGCTTTGAAGCGTGGAAGTGCGATTCTCGTGGCAGGCGCAGGGAATCGTGAGTTTGCGAGGTGTGAGGGAGGTGACATTTCGTGGCAGGCGCAGTACTTTGTGCGCGTTAGACGTGTGGATGGGGAAAGATTCGTGGCAGGCGCAGTGAATCGTGAGGTTGTGAGTTGTGGTAGAGGTGAATGTCGCTGTCCCATTGGGATTGGCGTGTGAGCGGATGTTGTTTGGAGGGGCTGGAATCGCGAAACTGCTTGGCAGGGCTGCGTGATGTGTGTGCTCCGATGGGTGTTTCCGCTTGACTTTTGGAGGAAGTCTCGTACGAAACGCTCGTTTTGCAGACTTTGACGTGTGAGTTTTTGAGGAAGTCTCGTACGAAACGCTCGTTTTGGAGACTTGACGCGCAACCCTCTGCGGAGATCGTGCGTGTCGAGTGTGCGAAATGCAGGCGAGAGTGCGATTTGTCCCATGTGCGCGCAACCCTCTGCGGAGATCGTGCGTGTCGAGTGCGCGAAATGC